CCTTGGGGGGCCCCCGTTTTGTGGGGGGGGGGGGGGGGGGGGGGGCGCAACAAACTGTACCCCCCCCCACAGAACCCCCCGGTTTAAGTTCCCCCGGAAGGAGGGGGTACCCATTTGGGGCCATAGAAAGGGGGTTGAAAAGGGGGGAAGAGAAAATGGATGGGTTACATGGGTTGGGGAAAACTTTTTTGACCCCCTTTTGGAAAAAAAGGGAAGGGAGGATTGCCCCCCCGTGTTGGGTCCTGGGGGAACAACAATGTTCCTTCTTTTGGGGGGGGGGGGGTCACCATTTTAACCGTTAGGGCGTGCAAAACATAGGGGTGGGCCCCGCCCTTCCCCCCCCCCCCCCCCATCGCTAGGGAGTTTCCTGTACGTGCCGGTAACCCCGGGGAAAGAGTTTTCAGAAACCCATCCCAGCCACACAGACGGAGGGGCCCTCCGGGGCCTTTGACAATCCCCCCCCCCCCCCCCGAAATCTAGCCTGCACGCATCAGTGTCGTCGATTAGATTTGTGCCCCTTTTGGCACCGGAATACCCCCAAAATGAGTGGTATCAACAAGGTCAAGAGGAGGACAGCAACAGCAGCCATCTCCCGGGGAATCCTTCCTCTCCACGGCCATTTTTTCGGGCTAGATGGGGGGCGATTTTCTGGCGTACAATACCACCCCCCACTCCCCTCGCGCCCAACATTGCGTATTGCTGCGTCCGCCACGCAGCCAACTGGGCAAAGTGAGCTCTTGTTACGTCTGTCCCTGTACGTTGAACGCGGCTGGATGGCCACCGGCACGCCTTCTTGACTTCCCCCGAACACTCAAAAAGCAACCGTTACGTTAGGTATTTCGCTACTCGCGAGCGACCAAACACAACGTTCGCACGCAACGGTATCAATCAAGCAATGCATTTTTCCCAGCCCAACCGGTTCCAGTCTGCCGCCGGCTTATTCCTCAAAAGGAGGGGAGGGGGGGACATGGATGGTACTTTGCCTCAAGAACGCAAATGTTGACATGTGGCGTGGGGGGGGGGGTAGAGCCCTCGACGCGCACTATCCTCTCACCCTGAATATAGTTTTCGACCCGTCCATGTAGTAGCACAGGCAGATGGTGAGGGTCATGGACACATCGCCATCGAGGGTCATGGCGGTGTCGCCGCTGAGGAGCGTCGGTGTACCCAAACAGCCAGCCAGGCAAGCAGAGCGATACACGCACACAGACCGCAAACAAAAACAGCAGCATAAGTAACAAGAATGTCACCAAGGAGTGACAGCGGTGCAGGCGCCGCCAGCGTGGGCTACCCAATCAGAGCAGCAGCAGCAGCAGCAGCGATATGCACGCAACAACAATAAAATACACACGCATTTACACACACGAAATGAAGACATGACACAACGCATACATAGGTACCTCCAGGGGCGCCTGGTGGGGGGGGGGGGGGGGGGGGGGGGTTTAAAAACAAGGGGAAAACCAAAAAAACTAAAAAATGTTGGTCTTTAAATTTTCCCCCGAGGGGACCCCACCCCTTTAGGGGTTATTGGCCTTTCCCCCCCCCCAGAAGGGGGGAAAGAACGCCTTCCCGTTTCCCCCGGGGCCCCCTTGGGGGGCCCAGCGCCCCGAACCCCACGAAAGCGGGGAAAAATTGGGGGCCGAAAGGAAGGCCCCTACCCCAAAGGGTCTGGGAAAAAAAGGGGGGGTCCAAACCCCCACAAGACCCGGGAAAAAATATTGCTGTAAAAAACATCCCCCGGCCAAAAAAAACCCCCCCCTAAACCACGGTGTAAAACAAA